ACTAGTCATGTATTCGAAAGCTTGTTGTTGACAGCCAAGATGTTCTGCCAAATTGCTTCGCCGGCAAAAGTCTTATTTCTAATATCAGGTCCTACCGGCGTTGCTTTCTGAGCTACATCGCCTTCTTCGTGGTATTATTGAGAATTTAATTGTTGCTGTTATTAGCCCGTTAGTCGTTAGAGTATATCCGCGTCCAGCAAGTTGAGACCTTGAGAAAGCTTGGCAGTCAAGCCGTGCACAGAACTGACTAATTAAATCTTTGTTTGCTGTTTGCCTGTTCGGTTAAATAGAGAAACTGACTCTTAATTATATAAAAGTACCTTGAATTTTTAAGTTTAATTAAAAAGCAAAATGCTCTGCGGACATGTTCATGAGAATATAATTTTTTTGTGTAACGAAATCTACAACACTTGTCAATCATATTGCATGTGTGTCTAAAAATAACATGTGGGCGTCCCACGGTCTAGACAGGTTTTGTGTCAGGCCCTATTTCAAATTAGGGCCTGAACTTCAGGTTAATAATGCGCAATGTACAACGCCAGAATTTTGTATGTGTGATGTTTGTGTTACAAAGTAAAAGGCGTGTCCTCCTAAATTTATTGTCCTGCTAGTTATAATTTTCTTGTTTTTGTACAGTGGAAGCTACTAAAGCCATAAAGAAAAAACAGCCTATTTTTAATAAGCCTGGCATTTACGGTTATATTAACAAAATATAAATGCATACTATCATTACTCTTAATGTTTTATCATTACTATGATAAAATTGTAAATCTAATGATTATTTTCTAGTGTAATTGTTAAAGTTAACCTTGGTCATAATAATGAGCAAACCTGAAAATTTCTCTCACAATTTTTCAGTCTCATGATTTTTCAGTCAATCTCACGACGTTTTAGACGGCAACTCACTATTTCTGCTACTCAAGGGTTGGCAGGTCTGCTCCCTATGTACAACATGGTACTGACTGACAGTACCATACAGGGCTCGAATTTTATCACAGCAATTGCTGTAGAGGGAGTACAAAATCCCTTGGATCATTGCGGAAACGACGGCAATTTTTTGCTGTATAGTATAATTTTTATACTATTCGCTAAATTACTATATTAACAACAAAATTAAATTTTTGTTGCAGTAATTTGAAAAAATGCTGTGGAAACTGCCAAAATTGCTGTAGACAGCTGTTATGTTCTACGGCTGCAATTTTTAACGCCATTGCCATCGATTGATTTCAGGGAAATTCGAGGCCTAGTACCATACCAATATCAAACCAATTATTCATGTTTAATTAATATTCACAATAAAACAAGCATTTGAAGGTTTCATCAGCTCTGCAGCCAATTAGCACAAGAAATATATTTACTGTCCATATGAATAAGATTATAATATGTATACAATAACTTTGATCTAGCCATGTTCGATTTCAGGGAGAAAGTTCGATCAATGTTTTATCATGGATACGATAGTTACATGAAGTTTGGTTATCCTTTTGATGAGCTTAAACCTTTGTCTTGTTCTGGTCATGATACTTGGGGCAGGTAATATATACAGAGCTGTATTCACGATCACTCTTTTGTGGAACAGGGCAAAACATGTGTGTTAATTGCTTGTCAGATTTTCAAAACTAGCTCTCAAAATGTTGCCATCATTTTTTACCTTCCTCATGTAACACCTGTTAGGATTTAGCTTACCAGGGCCTTCTTTATCATGTTTGCAGTTCCTGAAAATCATCTGACTGGTGGTTGCTTCTCCGAAGATTTGTTTCAGGTCCAACTCACATGAGATTAGAAGTTGTCTGTTCAACTAAAAATATAGAACTTTCAAATGGTGTAGACAATAATATTTATTAATTAACCCATTAAGTACTAGTGCTCTCCCCTTGATAAGTAAAATCATCTGGCATTAGACAGAGTAAAATCATCTGGCATTAGACAGAGTAAAATAATAAAGTAGGGCACAATGTACCTTAATGGGTTAATTATAACTAAACACATTGGCAAATAAGCCATTTAACCCATTAAGTGCTAGCGCTCTCCCCTCGATGAGTGAAATCGTTTGGCAATAGACAGAGTAAAATAATAAAGTAGGGCACAACACGACTCAATGGGTTAAGAGATATTTTCATTTTGTATTTAGCTATTCATTGACTTTAATTGATGCTCTTGATACTTTGTTGGTAAGACAAGTTAAATATATTCTCAGTAGTATAATATATTTTTATCTGCTTTCTCATCGCACTTGCTTTATAGTATTTAATTTCAAATATTTAATGTTCTACTGTAGGTGATGGGAAACAAAACTGAATTTGTTCGAGTTGCAGACATTCTTATTGACACTCTAGACTTTGATCGTGATATAAATGTCTCTGTTTTTGAAACAAATATAAGAGGTATACAATTACTAAATAAGTTCTATAGTCAATTGTCTAACCAAAAATTGTTATATTTCGATCATGGTGTTAGAACTGAATTATTTTTATTTGGTACAGTTGTTGGCGGATTATTATCTGCTCATCTTTTGTCTGGACGTGTTAAATTTGAATTGGAAGAAGGATGGCCATGTGAGGGGCCATTGTTGCGGCTGGCTTTTGATGTTGCCGAGCGGTTATTACCAGGTTGGTTCATAAAATGCATTTCCAAATTCTAAAGATGTTACTTACGGGATGAACATCTCACTGAGTGCCAGACTGAATGACAGCTGACTGCTGGAATAACTGACTTGTAGCTTCTTGTAGCATGATTAATTGACCAACCAACTAATTCCTGATTTACTGATACTGACTATCAGGCAGAATAACTTTAACTGATCTTCTAATGTATTTCCTACATCCAGCATTCAATACAGCAACTGGTATGCCATATGGTACTGTGAATCTTTTGGATGGTGTACCTGAGGGTGAGACTCCTGTTACCTGTACAGCTGGTGTTGGAACATATATCTTGGAATTTGGGACCTTGACTAAACTTACAGGTTGATTGTCTTAAACTCATTTTACCTTTCAGAATAGTACATTTAGCATTTTTAATATACACATTGTAAAATGCATGTTATATACAGTATAATTTGTATTCCAGGTGATCGAAGGTTTGAAGATGCAGCTTTAAAAGCATTGGATGGATTGTGGAAAGCAAAGTCGAATATTGGTTTGGTAATCCCGACCTTTATTCTTCACTCTCTATCCTCCGTCTGAGGATAAATTTTTTTTTCTTTGCCCAAGAGTACGGTATTAGAACTAGTAGAACCTGATCCATTCATTCTTTAGGTTGGAAATCATGTGGATGTACAGAGTTCTAAATGGACAGCAGAAGATGGCGGAATTGGTCCTGGTGTTGACTCGTATTTTGAATATCTGCTTAAAGGAGCAATACTCTTTGATTCACCTAGATTGTTGGGTATGTTTGAAGGTAAGGGAGATGACGCATTTTGAAATATAGTAGGTAATAATGAGAAACTTTCAAATGAGAAACTGTTTACTAAAAGCTTTTCCCCAGTTGTGCGTTATCATTGTGTTTGCAACTTTGTATGCCCGTACGTAAGGAAGTAGGAGGGGGGGGGGGGGGGGG